GGTCCACATATCTTCAAGTCACCAAGCTTGAGAAACAGTGGTCTATTCTAACCTTAGAAGCACATCCAAACATTCCATTCCAGCCTAATTTTAGGTGGCTGTGCCATAAAAGAAAATAACCGTCATGTAAACACGATGATGCGAAAATATATGTCAGCAGCAATAAGGTTTATTAACAGGCCTTACAAAGTAATAAAATAAAATCAAGTTTCTGTTGGTCACTTTTTAGCCCCCAAGTGGCTGGATTTCATTGTCTCTTTTAACCTCTGGGCCTTTTTCTTTTAAGGTTTAAAGCTCTTTGCAATGAGGTTAACCAACCTAATTAAGCCATTCCAGTCCACCCATCTCTTCAACACGTTCCCAAAGGCAAACCATAATAATTCATCATAGATGGCAAGGGAAGAGTGCAAATGACATCCTTCTTTGTCATCTTGGGTCCCTATGCGGCATTTTCAATACTGTCATTGTAGTTTCAGGGGCGACCTGCCCTCCTCCCGTTCTCCAGATACCCAACTCTAAAAGTCCTTGCATAAAGCCCCTCCCATGCTTCAAAGCCAACATGGATTTCAGAGTTGACCATCATTCTCCCCCTACCTTTCAATACCAGCTCTCAAGAGAGACCACCTTTGTTTTCACCAGTCATTTTCACAAGAAAGAAGGTAAAGTGCAGTTTCTCAGCGACAGACATGGAGCAGGTAACCCGAGGCTGCCAGAGAAGTCCACTCGACCAGAGCATTTCCCAGGATGGACTCAAGCTCCCGTGGGAGGGTTGTAAAGCGATTCTCCCCATCCCAGTTAAAATAAATGTTCAGGAATAAAGTGCCATTTTTCGTCCACTTTCTCCCCAAATGCAGCTGTTGGACTCGAAAAGAGGCTGGGCCAACAAGATCTTTGGAGACCTTGTTCCTCATACTTTGCCTTGCTCCAAGGACACAACAGCAGTTGTTAATCACTGTATTCCTCCGTCTCCTGTAAGGGGGGGCACTTGCTCCCCCTTTTCCATTTCATGTGTTGAGGTTTCAAGTAGGCTGCCAAGGAGGACTTTCTGCTAACTTTCCTGGCTGGGGAAGCAGAAGAGGCGGCCATGGAGGCTCTGATGATTGGATGAGCCGGGAAGATAGTCCTGCCTCGAGGGCCCCCCAAGAGCTGCCATATTTCTCCAGAGACACTGGCACTCAAGTACTGCCAAGGCTTCTTGCCGCTGCAGTCCCGGGCTTGGGTCCGGCACCGCAGCTTCTGCACCAGGATCTTGATGATCAGGGAGTGACTGTGGATGGCCGCCAGGTGCAGGGGGGTGTAACCACAACCAGACCTGACATTCACGTCCAGGACAATCCCTGCTTCCCTGGCACCCGTGACAAAGTCTTGCAGCACCTGGGCATTCCCGTGCTTGGCCAACCAGTGCAGCACCGTGAAGCCTGAGATGAAGTCCCTGCGGAGGGCAAGGTGCGGATCTTCCCGGAGCAGCGCCCAGGCCTGCATCCAGGAGCCCGTGGCCACCTTGACCAGCCAGGCGTGTTCTCGAGCGTCCAGGGGCACCAAGGAAGACCTGTGCTCAGCAGACCCCTCTGGGCTAGGGGCCAGCCTTTCTACAAATGGGGCATTTGTCAAGGGTCCTTGTCTAGGAACTAACCGGGGACTTAAGGGGGCATCCAGATTTGGGGATGGTGGTCCGCTCATCTTCCTTGGGTTCGACTTCAATGGATCCTTGCGCTGCCACTTGGAATCACTGCCTTCTGCTTTGCCCAGAGTGGCAGCTCTCCCAACGATCCGGTGAAGCAAGGCAACACACGGAGGGGACTTGCCGTTCTTGTGGCCTTGGCTGGCCTGGGCAAGTGGCACTACCAGACCATTGGTGTGAGGGATGCCCCGAGGGCCCTCGCAACCCACTGAGTTTCCGATGCACCCATTCCCCCTGCCCATTTCCCCTTCGTGGGAGTTGCTGTCCCTGCTGGTGCTGCTGCCCTCTTCACTGGCAGAGCTTTCCTGCTCAATGTGCTCCTCCAAGTCCTGCAAGGAAAGCTGGCATCGGATGCTGCGGAAGACTGGCATTGGGGGGTCCTGCCAGGCCTCTGAGGGTTCTGGCCTGAGTTGGGGATCCCGGGAGCCACTAGGGGGGCAGGCACTTCGGTTCGAGCTTTGAGGCCAGTCTTTCACCAGGCAGGCCTCCTCTTCCAGAGGTGGGAAAAGCTCGGGGAGGGCAGAATGATGGGTAACTATCCAATCCCGAATCCTTTGCTGGGCACTGCCGGCACTTGGAAGCGCGCCCATTTCTCCGACGGGTAGACGAAGGCCGTTCGACTGCTGCGCCCTTTCCTGCAGGGGCAGCGGTTCCGGGGCGGCTGTCCCCGCGAGGTGCGGCCGGCGACAATTTTCATCTCCAGCCAGGGCGCACGGTACCGAAAGGCTTCCCAGGCA